AATTTCAAACATGATTAAACAAATTGAGGAAAAATTGTCTCGCAAATGTACACTCAAACGATTGAGAATCGTCTGAAACGTGGAGATTTATGGGTCCCTCGGAACTTTTTTTTTTAATCGATATCTTTTTTGTTAACAATTTCAAAAATGATTAAACAAATTGGGAAAAAATTGTCTCGCAAATGTATACTCATACGATTGAGAATCGTGTGAAACGTGGAGATTTATGGGTCCCTCAGAACTTTTTTTTTTAATCGATATCTTTTTTGTTAACAATTTCAAAAATGATTAAAGAAATTGGGAAATAATTGTCTCGCAAATATATATTCAAACGATTGGGAATCGCTTGAAACGTCGAGATTTATGGGTCCCTCGGAACTTTTTTTTTAATCGAAATCTTTTTTGTTAACAATTTCAAAAATGATTCAACAAATTGGGGAAAAATTGTCTCGCAAATGTATACTCAAACGATTGAGAATCTTCTGAAACGTGGAGATTTATGGGTCCCTCGGAACTTTTTTTTTTAACGATAGCTTTTTTGTTGACAAATTCTGAAATGATTAAACAAATTGGGGAAAAATTGACTCGCAAATGTATACTCAAACGATTGAGAATGGTCTAAAACGTGGAGATTTATGGGTCCCTCAGTACTTTTTTTTTTAACGATATCTTTTTTGTTAACAATTTCATAAATGATTGAACAAATTCGGGAAAAATAGAGCCTTGGAAAAAAAAAGGTTCCGAGGGACTCAGAAATCTCCACGTTTCAGACAATTCTCAATCGTTTGAGTATACATTTGCGAGACAATTTTTCCCCAATTTGTTAAAACCTTTTTCAATTTGTTAACAAAAAAGATATCGTAAAAAAAAAAAGTTCCGAGAGACTAATAAATCTCCACCTTTCAGACGATGCGCAATCGTTTGACTATACATTTCCGAAACCATTTTTCCCCAATTTGTTGAACAATGTTTCGAATTTACAGAAGTGAATTCATTTTTCTCATTCCGCCCATCCATTGTTTCTCCATCATACTCCCACTCCGCTCTATACGGGATTTTTTCTTTCGTCACGATTTCCTGGAATTATCGACACTCTCCCGTTTGCTCATCTTTCCGAATTATCGACACTCTCGGGCTTGCGCTCTGCCTTATCTGTACCCACGCCCTCCGAAAATTACCGACACTTTTGCCCTCGCCACCTGTTTGACTCATAGGTACACCCGCAAAATTAGTTCGGCTCGGGCGGCCAGTCAATTTCGCGGTTGAAGCTTCGTCATTGGCGTTAGCAATCTCCCCTATAATCTCCGGTCAGACAGT